CAATATGACAATTTATTTTCTCTCTCGGTAGCACTCACTATGGCCACTGGTGCTGTCCCTGGAATATTTCTGATTCTCCTTCCTCCGGGACACAGGATGGGGCTGTATTTTTTTGGCCCCACCAGTTTCATGTGATTCATACAATGTGACAATTTCTGAAAGATGGGTGGTGAGTGATCAATGTCACTTCTGAGCAGGAGCATTTAACTTCCAGCGTGAAGCACTCTCTCTTCCCCCTGCCAGGTACCAGCACTGCTTGGGATGCAGATGCCTCAGGGCACCTGAGTGCTTACAGCAGGAAACACTGCAGTTGACCCACAGTAGGCAGTTCCCTGGGTATCTAATGGATTTGACCTTCCTCAATGCCCCTACAGTGCTAGGTAGCAAAATGAAAAATTAGACCTGATCATTAATGATACCTGGTCCTTCAAATGTAAACATTTTCCCTATTTAAATAGTTTCTTTCAGGTAGATTCACAGACTGGGGAGTTTAGCATCATGATGATGAGAGACCCCGCATCCATTCCCAACAGCTGGAGCTATTTTCTGGTCCTTGCTGGGACCAGAGACGACATTTTATTGCTCGGTGCTCCCTGCAAACAGAGGCCACACCATGAACAAGCTCTAGGGAGCAACCAAGTCTGCAGAGCGCTGCCTGCCCCTGCAGGCCCTCCTGTTGCCTTCTCCTAAGGGTGGGTGTGATTCTGACTTAGTCCTTGCCCAGCAGGGCTCCCTGAAACCTCAATAAGAGCAACCCCATTCATCTCCCAAGCCTGATAGCATAACTGATTTTGATATACATCAAATCATTTAGGAGATACAAGAGATTCCTGGCAATCCTGCTACATAAGCACTCCACATCACTGTTTCCCACTGATGTGGTCATCCATGACACAGAAGGGTCTTTCTACAAGGGAGCCTTCTCCCCAAGACCCTAAGGTGATGTGGCAAAAGGCTTCTTGATTTTAGTTTTCATTTCATATGATACGTCGGGAGAGTGTGTAATTTCCTGAGTGCCGTCTCACTACAGCAAAGATCTGAAATGGCAGACCAGTGTTATAGCTCGGTTACAGCTCAGTTTTATTTGGCTAACAAAGGAAAATACACCCTCGAGGCATGAAAGTGGCCAACCCAAAAAAAGAGAGAGGTTCAATCTTGGCTTCTCTTTTTATATGCTTTTTCTCCTCCCCCTGAGTCTGCCCTATTTAAATTGGCTAGCTAGGAGGGCTGTTTGTTTCACCTGAGGTTCTCATTCTGGTCCTTGGATTTTCTGTTGTTCCATTTTTGTGGGCTTTTTCCTTTCTTTGTCTTTTAGCCACCGCCATTTGGGACTCTTTTTTCCTATTCTAACTACCTAATATTCCCCTCTCAAGAGATGGGAGGCCCCATTCTTTGGGAATAGGGGTGTCGCGGCCTCTCTGGCTACTTCCTGCTGAGCTGGGATGGCGAGGGGCATTGGGCCTCCCCCTCTTGATAGTCTCAGGCCTCAGAGTCCTTATAGTGGTGTCCATCTAAGGATGAGTGATATTTTTCATGGTCGGTTGTAGTTTTATGTACCCTTGTTGAACTGCCACTGCATGTTGTAGCTTGTTGACCTGGGCAGAGACAAACAGGTTAGACAACTGGTAATACATGGAACAATCATAAGCAGCATCAATATGGTGATAACAGGGATTAGCAGGGACAGTAGCCAACTCTAAACTCCCCCTCACCAGGAGAAGGATCCCCCACAGAGAAACTGTAGCCACCCTGAGGACTTTCCAGACCATTCCTTGAGATCCCACAGGACCTGAATGGTTTTCTTGAGGACCGTGAGACTTTCTTTAACTTGGCTGGAGGTATTTACCCAGAAACAACATGTCTCATTCAAGATGGCTCAAGTGTCTCCTTGTTCAGGGATCAGGAAATCTCTCTCCTCTCTATTTTGGAGTGCAACCCCTGCCAAGCTGTGTGACTCTTTAGAGCTATCCTGAGAAATCTTACCTCAGAAACTTAATTTTGGGGGTGTTCATCAGAATGGCACTCATTTGTAGTTCTGAATAGGTATCTGAGCTCTCCCAGGAGCTCACAGGTGTATTAAGTGTCCTCTTCTGTTTTCTTCCACAGCTTGACTCCTGAGTAGTGAATCCAGGAGTCACGTCCTGGCACCTTGACCGCTGTGGGAGTAGAAAGTATTACAGGGTAGGGGCCCTTCCATGTGGGCTGGAGTTGAGCTTTTGGGGACCCATCTTTCCAGACTTTAATTAGGACTTGAGTCCCTGGAGCATATAGTAGTGACTCTTTAGACTCTTGTGAGTCCTCCGTTGATACCCCACAAGGGTATATCTTGTTGGAATTGCCCAGTGGCCATGGTATAAGATCAGAGTATCTGAGCCTCTGGATCTAGGAAGAGGTCATTGACACAAACAAAAGGTCTCCCATATAGCATCTCATAAGGACAAAGACCAACCTGTTCCATAGGGGCACTATAGGTGCAGAGGAAAACTACTGGTAAAGCCTCTTTCCATCCCAGGGAGGTCTCCTTGGTTATCTTTTATATTACAGATTTTAAGTATTGGTTGGCTCTTCCTACTTTTCCTGAAGACTGAGGCCTCCAGGCACAATGGAGGTAATAAGTACTGCCCAATGCTTTAGAGACCCCGTCGGTGACCTTAGAAGTAAATGATACCCCGTTGTCACTTTGTAATGACCTGGGCAGACCAAATCTCAGAATAGTTTCATGGAGATTTTTTTTTTTTACCACCTCCTCAGCCTTCTCAGTCTGGATGGGAAAGCCTTCAATCCATTCTGTGAATGTACCTATCATGACTAATAGGTATTTATACCCTTGAGAAACTGGCATCTGGGTGAAGTCCATCTGCCAGTCCTCTCCTGGGTAGGTCCCACGTCGTTGGACAGGCTGGGCCAGCTGGGGTCTTTGAGCTCCTTGGGGGTTGTTTAACTGGCAAGTGGGACAAGAGGAGACCATTTCCCTTATAGTCATTTGGAGGCCTGTTCCTCTGAAGGACCTTTCTAATAACATTTGGAGGGCCTTCTTCCCTAAATGAGTGGTGGCATGTAAGGAGTTAACCAACTTCCACTGGAGGTTCCCAGGCAGAAAAAGTAGTCCCTCCTTTGGAACCACTCCATATGACCTTCTTGAAAGCCCTCACTCTTAGCTTTAAGAGTCTCACCTTCAGTAGAGGAAGTAGTTTCTGGCAAATTAGTCTGTGGAACTAAGGTGGCAACCCTGATTAGGTCCTTGTTCTGTAACTCTGCTCTCTTAGCTGCCTGATCAGCTGCTTGGTTCCCTCGTGCCACTTCTGTGCTCCCAGTTTGGTGTCCTTTACAGCGGGAGACTGAACCCTCAGCGATTTCCTGGCTGCCTCCAGAAGCCTAAGGATTTGATCAGTATATTTGACCGGGGACCCTTGGGTGGTCAAGTGGCCTCTTTCATTCCAAATAGCAGCGTGTGCATGTAGCACCAGAAAGGCATATATGGAGTCAGTGTAAATGGCTAAATCTTTTTCATTTTCCCAGCTCTAAAGCTTGAGTCAGGGCTATGAGCTCAGCCAAATGGGCTGAAGTATCTGGTGGCAAAAGTTTAGCCTCTACAGTCTCAAAATTGGAGACTACTACATATCCAGCTCTTGTTTTTCCATCCAAGACAAAGCTGCTTCCATCAGTGTACCAGATTTCCTCAGGATTGGTCAGAAGATCTGACAATCCCTCTCAGGGTTTTGTCCAGTGGTCCAAGGTTTCTAGGCAAGAGTGAAAGGGGAGAGAGCCCTGAGGGGTATGCAGGAGGGTAGCAGGGTTAAGAACCTCACAAGGAGATAGAGTAAGGCCTGGATTTTTCCATCAGTATTACTTGATACCTGAGGATACTTTGATCAGACATCCATAAATGGCCTCTCCCATTAAGGAGTTGTTTTACTTGGTGGCTGGTAAAAATAGTTTGCCCCCAAGAGAGATTTTTAAAGCATCTTCTATCAGAACTGCAAAAGCTGCAAGATTTCAAAAGCAGGGAAATATCTCTTCCCAATAATGGAGTAGGACACTCAGGGACCACCATAAACTGGTGCAAAAATATTTGTCCATCCCAGCAACAAAGAAGTGCTAGGGTGAATCTTTCTGTAATTGCTCTTCCTACAACACTCCAAATGGTACAGGTTTGAGAGGAGAAGGCTCTGGAGTAGGAGGTCAGGACAGAGTAGGTAGACCCTGGGTCAGCCAAGAAATTCTCGGACCTACCTGTCACATCCAGTTGCACTGTTAACTCCAGTCCTGTGATGGTTATCTGTGACAGGCTGACTGACTGGAGCAGGCCGCTTCAGTCCTGTTGAACCATCATGAGGGAAGGCTTGATGCTTGATCTTGAGGCTCTTAGGTCCCCAAGGCAGAGTGCTGCCCAATGTCCCAATTGATGGCATTTGTAGCAAGCTGTTTTAGGAGACTTGTCATGGTTTGGACACTCTTTGGCCCATGTTCTGCCTCTCTATAGATTAGGCATTTGCCTCATGCCTTGTCCTTTAAGGACTCAGGTTTGCCATAGGGCTTCCCTGGAGGGCAGCCTTGTCTCTTTCCTTTTCTCCCTTTCCTGGGCCTTGGCCTCCCTCTCCTGCTCTCTCTCATAAAAGGTATTGGTGGCTGTCTGGACCATCTCATCTACAGAGGCAACAGGGCCCTGCTGCTGGAGCTGCTGCAACTTTACCCTGAAGTCTGAGGCATACTGGGACAGGAATTTGTCCTTTAAAATTATCTGTCCCTTGTAAGAGTCTAAGTCCAGATTAGTAAACTTTTGGAGGGCCTCTTTCAGCCTTTCCAGAAAGGCAATGGGGTTCTCGTTGGACTCCTGACTTATTTCTGAGACTGGGCAGAGTACCACAAATAATAGGCTTCCTTCTATTTCCATGAGTGGACTTCCTTAGGGGTGAGTCTTTCTGAAGCTTATCCTATCCAGTACTGCTGCAACCTGAGAGCCAGGCATCCGCTGGTCAGGGTGCAGAGTCCCAGGAAGGTTAGGGCACGACAACCTCCTGGAGATCGAATCCCTGGACAGGTTGAGGCATATTAATCTCCTGAGAATTGGGTCCCTTGGCAGGATGAGGCAGGCCAACCTCCTGGGACCCAGAGACTGGCAGATTCCAGAGCAGGTGGAGGCTTGACAACCTTCCAAGGGCCAAATCCCTAGGCAGGTCAAGGCAGGTCGACCTCCTGGGATCCCAAGCTGGTGGATCCCCAAGCAGGCTGAGGCATGACAACCTCCCAGGGACCAGATTCCTAGGCAGGTCAAGGCAGGTTGACCTCCTAGGACCCCACCCAGTCATCAGCTGGGTGTCCCCAAGGTCTCCAGTGTGACTAGTGCTGGGTAGGAGTAAGAGGTTATAATCTCATTGCAAGTTTGTCCACCACAGATGGGAATAGATACCATGATGTAAAGCAGTCCAAGCCTGTGCCCTGAGACTAGGAACCTGGCGAAACAGCCATAAGCCTTATCCTCTTATTGCTTTAAGGGAATGTAAGTCATTGATTTCTTCCCCTAGTCCTCCAAAAGAGCAGTTGAGGTTGTTTCCAATGGTAAACATTTCACTGTCATAGACCCACTTTGGGTAATAACAGAGTTAATGACAAAGGAGTGGGTTATCTGGTCCTGTTAGGAGCCTTAAGAGTATTTTAATAATAAGCTGGGTGGAGCTATGTTGCCTACAAGGGGGCAGGGTGCTGGCTGTAGGAGTTAGTAAGTGGCTTAAGGACAAAATGATAAGAGGCAACAGACCAGATGTTCCATACAAGTGGAGTGATTTGACCTAGGGGTATGTTTGTAACTTTAGGACAAGGGTGGTAAGGGATCTGGTGGTAAGGGATCCCTGCTTAGGGATCTGGTTCCTGGGAGGCTGTCACTCCTCAGCCTGCTTGGGCCCAAACAGCCTGCAGGGCTAACTCCAAAAGTAGCAAAGGTTATCACTGGAAGCCCAACTGTCCTAGAAGGGAATGCCACCAACAGATTTACTTCTTAGCAAGCACCCTGTGCCTGTCACGTGCCCTAGCGGGTTCACTGAGAGATGCTGCTGTTGCATATGTTGTAGGAAACATGGAAGATAAAGGGCTGAATATCTTGAGGAATTGGATATCATACAGTATTTCCCTCCCAAGATCGAGCTATTTTCTGGTTGTCCCACCAGAAGATTTTAGATGCAACACTGTGGGCCTGGAATGGGCTCACAAAAAGAGCATGAAGCAGGATGGAAGGGGGCAGGGCGCAACTTTTGAAAGAATGACATAGCCCAAAGACATAAACCCACTAAAATCAAATGGGTCCAAGATGGCAGACAGTCAAAGTCAACTAAACTTTGATCCTCAATCTGCAAGCTAAATGACACACCCAGAGGCACCATGACAGTTCCAAGACACTATCAAAAGGCCAAGGAGTGGGTGGTTCCCAGTTGTTGGGATGACCCTCCCACTCATTAGCATACGAAATCCCCCAGCCTGTAAATCTAACCACATGACATATCATGGCTGCCACACTCACCCTCTGCTTTAGGAGAGAGTGCCTTGTGGAGTGTGTTTCTCTTTGAATTCAAACAAATCTACCTCTTACCTACTGCGGTATCTCTCACTGAACTTTTTGTAATAAGACATCAACAACCTGAGCTTCATTAGGTCCTGAAACCAGACATTGTGGATTTTGGCCAGGCTCAAGTCCCAGTTGGACACAACCGAGCGACTGAGCATAGCACAGCATCCCTGCCACCTGGGTTTGAATACAAATCTCAGGTAAACAGGTTTAAATGCAACTTTCAGAAACGGAAAGATAATGACCTGCCCAATGCTTGGTAAGCAGTGGCATAGATGGAGAGAGGAGCTGAAGGATGGGAGGAAAAAGCAAGGGGAAAAACGTGCTGAGGAACCCTTTTCATAACTTGTCAGAAAAACTGCTAAATGCCTGACCTGTGCCCACAATTTTCACTGGCCTGATCCTTGGCACAAAGGAGGTTAAGGACAGGAGAACCTTCACCCACTTGGGCAACAGCTACTGAGGCACAGCAGACGGCAGAGCCTTCAGGACACACTGGGGCGTAGCTGCTGCCAGAGCCCCTCAGTTGCACCCACTGCCGCTCACCTGTTCACGGGGGGTTCAAGGAAGTAAGAAATGAGAGACCGTAAAGGAACTAAGATTTTGTAATCCATGTGTCCTTCCAGCCATAGGGGCAAGGACCTACGCTAGCCTGAGGTCTTCTGGAATCCGAGCCGGAGCCACGTGAGCTTCCTGCCAAGTTTGTTTTTACTGCCCCGGTCTCCAGCATGCTCGACTTCCTGTCACTTCCACTGTGCTGGGCTGCCTTCACCTTCAGCTTCTCCCACGTGAGCTTCCGCCAAGCTGGGCTTTTGCTGTGCGTGGTCTCCACCTCACTGGGGCCAAGCTGAGGTTGTTTCAGCCGAGTTAAATCCGAGACATGACACAAGATACGTCCGGGAAGTGTGTAATTTCCTCAGTTCTGTCTCACTGCAGCAAAGATTTGAAATGGCAGACCCATGTTATAGCTCTGTTACAGCTCAGTTTTATTTGGCAAGCAAAGGAAAATACATCCTCGAGGCATGAGAGGAGCCGGCCCCAAAAAACAGAGAGGCTCAATCTTGGCTCCTCTTTTTATATGTTTTTTCTCCTCCCCCTGAGTCTGCCCTATTTAAATTGGGCTAGCCAGGAGGGCTGTTTGTTTCACCTGTCTCACTCTGGTCCTAGGATTTTCTTTTGTTCCATTTTCGCAGGATTTTTCCTCTCTTTCTCTTTTAGCCACTGCCATTTGGGACTCTTTTTTTCCTATTCTAACTACCTAACAAATGTAACATATTTGCCCTGGTGGCTCAGCGGTAAAGAATCTGCCTGCCAACACAGGAGATGTGGGCTTATCCCTGGGTCAAGAAGATGCTCTGGGGAAGAGAATGGCAACCCACTCTAGTATTCTTGCCTGGAGAAGCCCATGGACAGAGAAGCCTGGCAGATATGACTTAGCAATTAAACACTATATGTCCAACTTCTGGGATTTAAGTCTGGAGAGAGGAGTGAAGACATAGTTGTTCCATGATGTTTTCCCCACATTCAGCATCTCTCTTATTGGCAGCCAGGTCTGAGAAGCAAGGTCATTCCAATTTTGCTTCCGGTCTGACCCTTGTTAGACAGCATTGCCCTTCTTTTTTAGGGCTCAAATTAAAAAATGTACCATTAAGAGACCTAATCGGTACCAAAAACAACAACAACAAAAAAACCCTAATCCTAAAATCTTTGCAGCAGCTACCTTCTGACTTCCTTTATTCCCCTGGTAAATGCAAATAGGACATCTTGACCAAATGTCTGGGGTGCTGAAGATACTGTATTAGCGTGTCACTACCACAAACTCCGGGGAGAAATGATCCAGAAAAGTGCTGAACAGGTAGTACAAGCTGACCATGGTCAAGGAAAACCACTGCTCAAGGACAGAGACACCAGAGGGATCCAGCTGAGAGTCCTGTGGGTTCTTCTCCATCCTCCTGTCCATCACTGCAATGCTGTGTCACCACTGTCTGTACAAATCTCCCATAAGCTTGCAAAGGAAAAATAACCTACAGGTTTCTCATTATTGACCAAGACACACACACAGTATGTAACATTGGTTCCAATTCTGGGTTATCTGTCAAAATTTAACCATTCTCTTTGTATCTATCAATACATGATATACTCATGGCATTATTCCATTTTTCACATTACTATAATTCATTTTATTTGTTGTTTTTCTTCTCTTTCATTTCTATATCAGATAAAAATAGTTGGAGAGAGAGAAATATTTCCATCTCAGATTGTATCTCTGCTATTTAAAAAATAATTAAACCAACATCTACTAAGTGGCAGGCCATTTTCTAGGCCCTGTAGATACTGTTATGAACAAATTGGAAAGCATCTTTCCTTTGTGAACATCATAGTCTAGGAAGAAGAAAATGGTAATAAATAAATAAACAGAAATAAATTTTAGATAGATCACATGGAGGAGAATAATAAAAAGAGTGATATTACCAGAAGTGATTAGATGTTGGGAGTTCTTTTAGGTCTGTGATGTCCAGAAAGTGCCTTTATGAGGTGACATTTGAGATGAGACCAGAAAGCAACAATCCTTCATGTAATCACTGAGAAAGCAGAACACACCAACCAGTAAAAACATCAAAAAGGAGAAATACAAGTAGTGTATGCTACGAATCCTAAAATAAGTCCCTGGTGAGAATACATTATAAGGGAGAAAGAAAGAAATGAGAGGGCTTTAAAAGGAGACCACCCAACAAATGAACTTACCTACAAAACAAAAATGGAGTCACAGATGTAGAGACAAACTTGTGATCACCAGGAGATGAGGGGGAGGGATAAACTGAGAGAGTGGAGTTGACACATACACACTATTATATATAAAATAGATAATTAATAAGGATCTACTGTATACAACAGGGAACTTTGCTAAATACTCTGCAATGACCTATATGGAAAAGAATCTAAAAAAGAGTGGATCAAAGCTATGGGTTTTCCAGTAGTCATGTACAGATATGAAAATTTGACCATAACAAAGGCTGAGTACCAAAGAAGTGAGGCTTTCAAACTGTGGTGCTGGAGAAGACTCTTGAGAGTCCCTTGGACTGCCAGGAAATCAAACCAGTCTATCCTAAAGGAGAGAAACTCTGAATATTTATTGAAAGGACTGATGTTGAAGCTGAAACTCCAATACTTTGGCCACCTGCTGCAAAGAGCCAACTCATTGGAAAAGACCCTGATGCTGGGAAAGACTGAGGGCAGGAGGAGAAGGGCACAGCAGAGGATGAGATGGTTGGATGGCATCTCTGACTCAATGGACATGAGTTTGAGCAAACTCCAGAGACAGTGAAAGACAGGGAAGCCTGGCTTGCTGCAGTCCATGGGGTTGCGAAGAGTTGGACATGACTGAGCCACTGAACAACAATATATGTATTGTATAACTGATTCACTTTACCATACACCTGAAACTAGCACAACACTGTAAATCAGCATACCCCAATAAAACTAATTTAAAAAGAGGCCACTCAGCACAAGCCACAGAAAATCCTGAGCTGCTTTTGAGAAGGGATCATCATACACACAGAGAATCTGGGGAAGAAAAAAATCAGTTTGAACAAGTCAATTAACTCGAGATACTCCTTGTATGGTCAAGTAGACAGATAAGACCTAGAATACATAAACAAGATTTGGATTTCTATTTTCTCCTATTTTCTCCCTTATATTATGTCTCAATTATATAACTTCTACAGTTTCTTTTTGACCTCATTCTCTGTG